GGGGGTATTTTTTCTTAGTTTGTATAATAACCTCCTGAACAAAATATGTTGTTATTCCTTTTACCTACCACACATGAGAGTCAAATGAGATAAACCTAAATATTTACCCAAAAAGCATAAAATTACTTCAGAAATACATTTGACTTTCTTTAACTTCAGCTTATTTCAAAAACACCATGGGTTTGGGTATATGGATGTTTTCTGGATTTCTTGTTTATCCAACTGATTTGTCTGAGGATGCGTCTTAAAGTCTCCATAATTTCCTCATTATGCAAAATTCAAGTGGATGACTTATGGTCAGAGTTATTGTGAACATAAATAAAATATTAATGCTGTAATTTAATTCTTTCATTGAATTGGTGCAAACATTATAATGTATAAAGAACTGTAAATATTTGTATTTTATGTCCATCTCATTTATTTCTAAAATTCACTTACGTGAATAGTGTAGAATCAAATGCAATTGCAAAGGTGTGATAGTGTTCTATATAGTACAGAGTAGACTATAATCATATAATAAATGGCAGTGTATAAGGAAACCTGTTCCTCTGTTCTGTGATACATGAAAACAAATAACAGGAGCCTTTTTCATGTACCTCACCAACATCTCCCTGTAACAGCTTGTAGAACAAGACCCTAATCTCTGTGCACATACAAGGTGCTCTAAAATGTGCCATTGGCTTCGCAACCCTAATTAATTGAATTTTGTCTACAAATAAATATGCATAACACATGTAATCATCACAAACTGCTGTAACTTGAAAATGGGCTCTGGTTGGCAATGAGCCATGCCGAGTGACTCTAGGATGGACATTCAGTCTTTCTGAGCCAATCAGGGCATTTTTTCAGCAGGAAAACCTGATGTCATGGTGATGAGCGTCTCCTTTTCTTCCATCCATGTTTCTTTGACTGATAGCATTTCATGTTCAATGAACCCGTCTTTGGGAAAACAGCTCAATGCATTTTTACTGGATAGGCTGCATTGGATTTTGCCTCTGATCTATGACAGTGGGTTGGTCAGTTTCTTTGAAAATTGTTGGAGAGATGGTGGTTGTCAGAAATGAGACAGGGGAGCACAGTAGCACTTGATTGGACTGACCACTGCCTGGTGTCTAGCACTGCCCATGAGACCCTGTGCTGGGGCTGGAGCCGAACAGAAGTTCATTAGTCTCTGCCCTTGGCTCATGGATTTCTGAGAAACACAGACAGTTGGGTCTCCTGCAGTGTGGGTGGCCGGGTCCTCTCCTTTTCTGTTTGTCCCTAAGAGTATCATTGACTCGGCCCTCTCTCTTTTTAAGTGTGTTCATTCATTCATTTGCTCTTTCAATACATCTCTACCTAGTCTGTACCACGTGCAGGCACTGCGCTGGGTCCTGGGAATAGAACAAACTGCAATGACAGCCCTGATTCCTGTTGGTGGAGCTCACACCTCATCAGGGAAGAACAATGTCCAGCAAAGGATCGTCCACAAGGGCAGAGACCAAGCTTCTGTCCCCTGGAAAGGGTGGTATTTGTGTTTTTTAGCCAAAGAACTGTGGAAAAAACAGGATAATTTCAATAAAATGGGATTGCCATAGCAGAACTGGCTGTGGATATAAAGGCTTGGAGTTTTTTTTTTTTAAGCCAGTGAAAGGAAAGCTATGTTTCCCAAGTATGGGCCTTTCATGATGGTCAGAGTGTGGGTTTAGCATCTCCTGTTTCCTTTCCTTTCCTCTTTGCTTAATTACCCAGTAAATTTTGTCTTAGGGGCGACTGTGCGGATGCAGCTCATAGGGGCTAAAGTGAAACTAGTGCCCTGGCTAGTGGGATATCAGGATTATTCCTATTGGTGTTTGGAGAACACAATGAGAAACAGAAGAAATCCAGCTCAGGAGGGTTTAGTCCCTGTAACAGAGAGAGAGACACTGGGGTCAGCTCGCTCTTTGCTCAGAGCTTCTTTTCCTTCCTACTGTGGGTCTTCACCGAAGGTCCTCTGTGGGACCCCTGAGACTCCAGTGCCCCATTAACAGCAGGAGTTTGGAGAGTTTCCACATCAGCCAGGGTTCCCTGGCAAAGAGCAGAGTCCACTCTGGTGAGTTTAGCAGAGGATTTATCACCTAGGTTACATGACTCCCAGCATCCTCAGTGGGTCTGAAGAAATTGAAGTTCTAGGCTGAGCTGACATTGAAGAAGCTCCAGGAACTTCTCCCAAAGTCACAGTGCAGAAATGGCCACCGAGGCACTGCAGGGCTGCCATCATCAGAAAGCCACCTGCCATCTCAGCGGGGAGTCCGAGAGCTCGGCTCTGTCCACCGCAGCAGGAGGCGTGTGTTGCACCCTGCTCTTCTCCGCATCAGTTTGGTCCTTCTTTGTGATAAGATTTGCACTGAAAGAGTGGGATCTATTTTTAATTTTACTCCCTACGAAGGGAGCACTTTTCAGACAGTATTTCCAGCTTTATCCCCGACCAGGGCTTGGCTAATTTGTGGTCATCTCCCTGAACTCAGTGGATACCCACTCAGTCTTTGTCACACTGGTTCAACTGGCTGTGAAAGTGGCCTTCTAGAAAGTTACAAAGACTTGGAAAAAATGCCACACCACCTCCCCTGCCTTTCTAAATGCTTGTGTACCCTCTCAATGACTGACAGACCCTGCATAGACTTGCTTCGTGATAAGCTGATGCCCCCGTGTGTGCATTTACCTCTCAACTGCATACCCACACTGTGGCATCTCTTACATTGAGGAACACAGAGCGGGCATGCAACAATTGGTCGTTGGTTAGATTATACATTTATTAGCTAACTCTAAAGTTCGTCTCCGTGGGCTACGCACAACATGGAAGAAAACTGCAGCCCCATGACCTGCTGAAAAATGTGACATCTCGTTTAAGTGCTGTATTGTCCTTCAAAGAAAGAAAATAAATGTCAAATTTGTCTTCTAGCTTCTCTGATTTTCGTGCAGTCCTGGCTTTGTACTTTGGGGGCTGGGAAGTCTGATGTTTCACGACTGCTTAGAATTAAGCATGAAAAGCGCTAGGCGTGTAATTCTGGGGGTGGTGGAAAGAAGCTGGGAGGGCTCAGAATTAATGGAATCTGGGGGTGGGGGGCTCTCCTCACTGACTCCCTTTGTGCAGGAGGAGACCAGATGGCGAGAGGGTGGAAGAAATGACTACTTCAAGTTGCTCCAAAAACTGGGAGTGGGTGGGAATAGAGTCACTGTCAGGCCAAGTGCACGCTGGCTAGACTTAGGGAAGTCAGTGACGGTGAGCCTCAGCATTCTAAAGAGCCTTCTCCTTAGAAGTTTAAAATTCTTCCAGCAATATCCTCCAGCTCCACCTGAGGCCAAGCCTATGAACTTTCACAAGTAATTTCCAAGGACTTATTGAGACTTAGTTTATTCTACCAATGGGAGGCTATGCATCATTCTTAATCCGAAAGCCCAAGGGGAGATAATTTATGTTTATTCTCCTCCCATCTCTTTGCTTAATAACCCTGCTCCCAGCTGTCTTCAGTAACATTCTTGGCAGAGCGGCAAGCAGGACCGCCCTCCTTGGGACCCAGAGGGTTTGTCCTGGTTAGAAGTGAGATGTGTCTGTCTCTCACATCTAATCGGGACACGCCCTCCCATGATGGACACCCTGGAGGTGAGGAGGAGGGGAGTCTTGAATGAGTTGTATAGCAATGGGATGATCACGCTACTTACCCAACAGTGGATCGTCCACAATTCAGCTCTTTCTGGCTTAGAATATACTGTGCTGCTTTTGTGTCATTTCACTTTCCCAATTATGTTCTATTTAATTCCACAATGCCTCTGTATTGCCCGAAGCATTTGCCAGTTTGTGACTGGAAGCACATTAGGTTCACAGGTGATGCAAGTTTATACCAACTGTCTATTCATGGATAGCATTTTTTTTTTTTTTTGCGTCCTTCAGTTCAGTTCAGTTCAGTTCAGTCGCTCAGTTGTGTCCGACTCTTTGTGACCCCATGAATCGCAGCACGCCAGGCCTCCCTGTCCATCACCAACTCCCGGAGTTTACCCAAACTCATGTCCATCGAGTCGGTGATGCCATCCAGCCATCTCATCCTCTGTCGTCCCCTCTCCTCCTGCCCCCAATCCCTCCCAGCATCAAGGTCTTTTCCAATGAGTCAACTCTTCGAATGAGATGGCCAAAGTATTGGAGTTTCAGCTTCAGCATCAGTCCTTTCAATGAATACCCAGGACTGATCTCCTTTAGGAGGTACTGGTTGGATCTCCTTTCAGTCCTAGGGACTCTCAAGAGTCTTCTCCAACATCACAGTTCAAAAGCATCAATTCTTTGGCGCTCAGCTTTCTTCACAGTCCAACTCTCACATCCATACGTGACCACTGGAAAAACCATAGCCTTGACCAGACGGACCTTTGTTGGCAAAGTAATGTCTTTCCTTTTTAATATGCCATCTAGGTTGGTCATAACTTTCCTTCCAAGGAGTAAGTGTCTTTTAATTTCATTGCTGCAGTCACCATCTGCAGTGATTTTGGAGCCCAGAAAAATAAAGTCTGACACTGTTTCCACTGTTTCCCCATCTATTTGCCATGAAGTGATGGGACCGGATGCCATGATCTTAGTTTCCTGAATGTTGAGCTTTAAGCCAACTTTTTCACTCTCCTCTTTCACTTTCACCAAGAGGCTCTTCAGTTTTTCTTCACTTTCTGCCATAAGGGTGGTGTCATCTGCATATCTGAGGTTATTGATATTTCTCCCGGCAATCTTGATTCCAGCTTGTGCTTCATCCAGCCCAGCATTTCTCATGATGTACTCTGCGTATAAGTGAAATAAGCAGGGTGACAATATACAGCCTTGACGTACTCCTTTTCCCATTTGGAACCAGTCTGTTGGTCCATGTCCAGTTCTAACTGTTGCTTCCTGACGTGCATATTGGTTTTGCATCCTTAGTTGACAATTAACAGGTATGTGATTGATTAAACAGTGAGAAAATGTTTATGCTAGTAGGCTAGACAACCATTTCACTCCCTCTACATTTTTAAGCCAAAGATTGAAGTTCACTGTTGAGGATAACACCTGAGTGCTGAGACAGTTGCTCTCTTGGTAGAGACCCACGTGGTGTGTCCTCCAACCCCGTGCAAATAGCAGTATGCATGGGCAGCTGGTGATGAGCACTCAGTAAGATCATATAGAAAGAACAGGAAGAAGTTCTGACATAAATTCTCCTCCTTGTGTAGGGATAAAACTGTATATTATATTCAGATGCAGACTGAACTGAATCAAGTCTTTTTTCTTTGTAGCCCATGATTATCTCTATAGATATGGCCCTTGGGTTTGCAGTCATTCATCATCCAAAGGACATGGAGAATTAATTCTTCCCTAAAATAAGATTGATTCTGAATATGGCTGGTCCTCTGCCCTTCTGTCTTAGACACACATCCTGCCGGCCACGGAGGCAGGCGTGGAGGATGCTGTCCATTCTGTTGCCATGATACCAGGCAGTGTTTCCATAACACAGCCTTCTTGCTTTCTGGGCAAGCCGATTTGGACGGTTTTCCCTGCATGATGCTAGTCAGGCTGGAAAGGGCTCCAGGGCCCTTGGGGATTGCTATGCTGAGTTTTGTGTGTGAAAGTTTAACTCCGGCTCAAGCCAGGCTTGTACAGAAGCTCAGGCTCAAGATCGAAAGGGGAAGATCACGGAGAAAGACACGGGGTTGAACGGAAGGTATTGAATGCATTGACTGTCTCCCTTGTTTCCTTTTCTTTGTGGGGAGGGCTCAGTGTCTTAGCTGCAGGGTTTGCGTGTCCGTGAGACCCAGGCAGCTGCAGGGAGCAGGGTGAGAAAGTGAAAGATGAGAAGCAGGCGGGGAGCTGATGACTAGTGGGCAGGCAATGGCTAACTTCCGCAGCTCAAGGTTTTAGGCTTTTCTGCAAAAGAACAGAAAGGATTTCAGGAACATAATTTGCTTTTTAATTTTATTACTATTTCTGTTTGTTTCATTGGAGGATAATTGCTTTACAGTGCCGTGTTAGCTTCTGCTAGCAAAAGGAGTCAGCTATATGTATACATATATCCCCTCCGGCTTGAGCCTCCCTCCCACCCACCCCCATCCCACCCCTCTAGGTCATCACAGGGCGCCAAGCTGTCCCACTAGCTATTTTACACCTGGAAGTGTAAGGGAATGTAATTCAAACTCGAGTTTAAGGAGAGCTTTTTGTTTCTTGGCAATGGCAAAACACCGCCATCTGGGGCTTGTCTGTGTCACTGAAAAGAGGATTCCTCCTGTCATAATTGGAGCATGGTGAGGCAGCTTGGAATCCGCATGTGGGCTCAGATCTTGCTTAAATCACCAGTTTTATCAGAGTAGCAAGTATCCAGGCAACAAAACTCACTGACTGCATTTACTCAGAACCAGAAACAACATTGACTTGGGCTGAGAGGGGTCCTCCCGCTGGTGACTCAGCAGACCAAGGGACGTTTGTGAAGACAGCTCACCCCGCGGCCACGTCCACGGGCTGTGCTTAGTCATTCAGTCGCGTCCGACTCTTTGCAACCTCACAGATTGCAGGGCTCCAGGCTCCTCTGTCCTTGGGATTCTCCAGGCCAGAATACTGGAGTGGGTTGCCATGGCCTCCTCCAGGGGATCTTCCCGACCCAGGGGTCAAACCCAGGTCTCCCGCACCGCAGGCAGATTCTTTACCATCTGAGCCACCAGGGACAGGCATCCCCTTCTCAGGCTGTTTTTGAGGAGCTTCCACACTGTTTTCCGTAGTGGCTATACCATATTGCATTCCCACTGTGTGTGAGGGTTCCAAATCCTCCACACCCCTGCCAACACTTGCTTTTTGTTGTAGTGGTGATTGTTTTGATAATAGCCATCCCAACAGATGTGAGATAGTCTCTCACTGTGGTTCTGTTTAAGATACTTTTTTAATGTGGATCCTTTTCTAAAGTCTTTAATTAATTTGTTGCGATACTGCTTCTGTTTTATGTTTCGCTTTTTGGCCATGAGGCATATGGGATCTTACAGCTCCCTGACAAGGGAACAAACCCACAGCCCCTGCATTGGAAGGCAAAGTCTTAACCACGAGACTGCCAGGGAAGTCCCTTGATTTGCAACCACATGTAATGGACATGTTTTTGTTCTTTTGACATGGTGGCTTATTCCTGGGCCTTCACGATATGCTTTGATAACCTGCAAATCCAGTTCAGAAGAAATAAATTGTGAACATTCTCATTTTTCACAATAGTTTTTGAGATAAAATTCAACATCTTGATACCAAAAGGGTCACGTCAGTAACTATTATCAGCAGTAAATATTCTCTTGCTTTTCTGAAAGTCTAAGCCCCCTGTCACCCCACTGCTCACTTCAGGGCCTTCGACACTGAGATCCTACAAAAAGTTTTGTGTTTCAGTCACCTTGTTGCCTTTTATTAGAGGAAGGTTTATAAAGCTTAAAGGAAATCAACCCTGAATATAAACTGGAAGGACTGATGCTGAAGCTGAAGCTCCAATACTTTGACCATCTGATGAGAAGAGCCAGCCCTTTGGAAAAGACCCTGATGCCGGGAAAAGTTGAAGAAGAGGAGAAGGGGGAGACAGACAATGAGATGGTTGGATGGTATCACCAACTCAATGGACACGAGTTTGAGCAAGCTCTGGGAGATGGTGAAGGACAGGAAAGCCTGGCGTGCTTCAGTCCATGGGGTTGCAAAGAGTCGGTCTTGACTTAGCAACTGAACAACGACAAGAATAAAGCTTAGCAGTAATTCATAAACTCCATCCACTCATTGCACTAAAGATTTTATTTGTGCAAAATAAGTCTTCCTTTCTTGGTTTAGCATGATCTTAACTGCTTTTTAAGGACTGTTGGTGAAACTGGAGAGAAAGTACCAGTGCCAGGTTCTATTTCACTTAAGTAAAGAAAATCAGATTAAAATAATGAATGACACTCCAGGAACTGTGAGGCTTCCTGGGGGAGCAAATGACTGTCCACAGGGTCTAAGCCTGAGACCCCCTCTGTGGCATAAACAGGGATGCATTTCATCGCAGCTAAGCGTCAGGAAATATGCTTTTAATTATCACTTAAGATGTAACCTGTCAGAGGTCTTAGTATCACTTGTTTTTAATGAGAATTGATTTTCAGATTGCATTACCCCGAAAGCCAAGGATAATGGAAACCCCTGGTTCTTTCCTGAGACCTTTAGTCACCACATGTTTCTACGCCGATCTCGCCGGCATCGCCAGCCCCTAGACATCCGATCTGCCCACATGGGGCCCAGGCAGAGGGGCCAGCTTGTTAGCCTTAAAGTGATTCTGATGAATGAGATTCTACAAAGCTGAGCCTGGCTCACGAGTTTTGCTGCAAAATGAGTGAGCCCCAGGGAAAACTAAAGAGGGGTTGAATTTTTCACTGTGGTCCACAGGCTGGCCTTGTTGATGCAAGATGCTGGGCAGAAATGATGTATTGATGGGGAACGCATTCGTCTGAGTGAGGCCCACCTCTGCGTAGACCTTCCCACTGGTATCCTAACCTTTTTTGAAATGGCTGAGCAAGCCCTGAAAGGCACACCAGGAGCGGATATGCAGAAAGGCATCGAGAGGAAAGACAAGATACCTGGTTATCTGTTTCCCAAACTTAAGTCGTGCCCATACCATATACCACCATCCTGTTTTTCTTGCCATAAACTGGTATGGTCTTTACAATGATTTACTTAATATTTTCCCTTAAGTTGACTCAGAAAACTTTATGGACTTACTTTGCGGAGAACATCAATATTGAAAACAGATTAGTCTTCCTGCTTTGGCAATAGAACTTTTTCAGTTACGGAAGGATATTATTGCCTGCTGTTGGTTTTCCTTGTGATGGTTGCCTGTGATTTCTTTGTTACCATGGATATTTGAGAGGTGTTAATGGCAGAGTAATGTGATCTAGTTCCTTCTCTTTTTCATTGTCAGAATCAAAAAGATTGGAAGAGAGTTGGATGGGGAATAACTTTCTCACCCTTCAACACTGCATTATTGCTTTATGTGTATAAGACCTAAAAGCATGGTGGCATGTGTCTGTCTGTTTGGGAAATGATGGTAGAATGCACTTATGATTATGTGCAGATCAGATTGGAAGATGATGCGGAGGGAAACTGGAGGAAGGTGGAAAGAAAGGAGCCAAAAAATAAAAGCAAAAGCAAGCAGACTCTGGTTTCTTTCCACTAACAGAGAAACATTGTGATGAAAAGAAAAATGATCAGATTTAAAATCAATCTTACCCACAGTCCCTCTGTGTTCTTTCATCAAATCCATGTGTATTAATCGCCTCCCACGTACCAGTCACCGTGCCGTGTACACTGGAGCCATGAGGACAAAACCCGACATCATGAGGGATTTAGTTCCACAGAAAACAGACAGGTATGTGTAGAGCTGTGGCAGCTACTAGGAAGTCACTTGCCTCAGATTCTGGGGGACCAGCAGCAGCAATGGGGAGAAGGTGGTCCCTGGAGTGTCACCCTGATGGAGTATTCTAACATCGAGGGGAGTAGAAAGTAATCCCAGCCAAACCAGCACATTTGGGAAAACAGAATGCAATGTCACGGCCGCTTAGGCCTCCTGGCTTTCTGGGTCAGTGAATTTTTCTGGAAAGTATATTGCTCCTGCTACACTATAGTTTGACGATAGAAGGGGGAATATCAGTGCTGGACACCAGGTGGCACTGGTCATTAAATTTCCAAAGCTCAGAAGCAGTGATGGCTCAGTCATTTGCAGAGACGTGGATGGACTTAGAAACTATCATACAGAACGAAGTAAGTCAAGAAGACAAAAACAAATATTGTATATTAACGCATATATATGGAAACTAAAAAAATGGTACAGATGAACCTATTTGCAAAGCAGAAATAGAGACACAGAGAACAAATGTATGGACAACAACCGGGGAGGGGTCGGATGAACTGGGAGACTGGGATTGACACTTATTGATTGCTGTTGTTCAGTCACTAAGTCGTGTCCGACTCTTTGCGATCTCATGAACTGCAGCCAGCCAGGCTTCCTTGTCCTTCACTAGCCCCCAGAGTTTGCGCGAGCTCACCTCCATTGAGTGGGTGATACCATCCTAACATCTTATCCTCTGTCCTTCCCTTCGCCTCCTGCCCTCAATCTTTCCCAGCATCAGGGTCTTATTCAGTGACTCAGCTCTTTGCATCAGGTGGCCAAAGTATTGGAGCTTCAGCTTCAACATCAGTCCTTCCAATGAACACTCAGGGCTGATCTCCTTTAGGATGGACTGGTTGGATCTCCTTGCAGTCCAAGGGACTCTCAAGAGTCTTCTCCAACACCACAGTTCAAAAGCA